TGCCTATGTTATATAGATAGACATGGGGGGGGGGCAAACAAACAAAAATAGAAAACAAAACAAAAGAAAGAAAACAGTAGATAGTTCTAGTTCTAACTTTCAATCATGGGGCAAGGATGTGAATAGCCTTGCTAACATGAAGAATACATTAGAAAGTGAATTGTTGCAGATGCACTTAAGTTAGAATTTAGAACCCTATCATTTGATTTTCTTTAGGATCCATTTAAATTTGTTTTAGTTTTTAATATTTTGTGCTTTCTTTTTGATTGAAGTTTTTATGTGTTTTACTTTGATCTTCCTGTTAGTTTTTTGGTTTTTTGCTGTTTTTCTTTACTTTGAATCCAGGATATGTAAATCTATAGAGACAGTAAGTGAATTATTGGTACCTTGGAAATATGGCAGGGAAAGTTGGGGGGCAGGGGATATGGGGACCTAATAATTATGAGTACAAGATTGAAGAATATGTTCTTAAACTGATTATGGTAAGAATTGTACCTTCTTGATGTGATTGAACTGATGGATTGTATGAGATGTATATGAATTACATGTTAATAAAACTGTTGGGGGAAATAGGAAGCAAGCATAATATAAAACTATTGGTATCATGTCGGGGTAATTTGTGACATCATGTTGGGGGGGTGTCCATCATTTGTAGCACTCCAACCATCTAGGAGCTACCTGAGACACATGGAGGAACTGCTCAAGACTCAAAATCGAGTCATGAGGGAGAGGAGAGGGATTCAAGAGAGAGAAGAGCCTTGGAAGCTTCTCCACTCACCAATTTGCAAGCCAAAGGAGAAAGTTTACAAAGTTCAAATGCAGGGACAATAATGGGGAACAGTGACATCAGGCACAACATGTTTTCATGATGCATAATTAGCAAACATCCTTGCACTAGCAAACATTCTCATATAACTAACAAATATTCTAATATGATTAACAAACATTTTTGTATGCCTGCATATTTTGAACTGATGGACTTCTTTTTGTCTCCAGCAAGGAGGCTCCTTATCACTCAGAGTTTGCACCAAGTTCCTGGAAAATGCAAACCGTTACACAGGCAAAGCTCACTCATAGTTGTTGCAGCCAAGCAATCCCCCCAGGGTAACAGAACAATGTATCACTACAGAAAACGATATGACAGAGCACCCCCCCCCACACACACACACAAAATTTCAATCAACTAAAAATGTAAATTATACATTTATTTTTTAAACATAAAAAAGTGAGAATTTACAATGGCATCAAGATAAGCCCAGTATTCTGAATATACACTTTTTGCATATAAATAACTCACATATAATTCTTTTTTTTTTTTTTTTTATCAATTTATTGGGGCTCATACAATTCGTCACAATACATAGATCAATTGTGTAAAGCACATCTATACATTTGTTGCCCTCATCATTCCCAAAATTTTCTTGCCTC